CCTCCTCCTCCTCCCTCCTCTCTCTCTCTCTCTCTCTCTCTCTCTCTCTCTCTCTCTCTCTCAACTGTCCAGAAAAAGCGATTTTTAATTAATGAGGTGATTATAAAGGATATTTCTGAAAGAAATGACTCATGTATCTTTGGAAAGTTCGTAGTTGAAATTATATCGTATCGAAATTCAACAATTAATGTGATTGTCGTTTAGTATTATGGTAATTAGATCTGATCAGGATTGCGACGGACCGTCCAGAACCAATCGCCTGTCGATGGCTCGTCAATCGAGAATTCAAGCATACGACCAGCCGCGTACTAGGCGAGCAGATTTCGGGGTAGGCGTTTAGCGCGATCCCCACCAACTCAAAACCACGTGACGCGTCGTCCTTGCAGGATCAGGCTAGTAGTCTTTTAGACAGTTAGCACGTGTCTTCCCGCCCGAAAATCCTCTAAATCTTTTAATTAATAAGAAACTTTTAGCACATATTGAAATAGCGTTTCATTTATCATATATTGTTGAGGAGACATAGTTGTTCTTCTTTTTTTCTTGATGTTTTTTTATAAAATATGCGGTTTTTGCAAAATTTTTTGTTCCCTTATCGTGGATTTCAATGTAAACAGGTTCGGATTATTAAAATTTATTTTTCATTTTATATGCAACATATTTTTCTAACAGATTAGACATAAAAAAGGTATTCTATTTCTACAAGAGTGTTTAAGAGTTACTTTATTTCAAATGTGATATAAATACTAAATTTAAAATGAATGTGAACATTAAATTTAAAATTATAATATATAAAAAATATATTAATATCATGAAAAAATAATGTAAGATATTCTCGCGTAAATTTATATACAGCGACAGTCTAACACATCGTAAAGACTAAAGGCAGGTTATGCACTGTATATAATTGTTTTATTATTTGCAGTCTTGTGTACATTAATAGAATTTTTATTCCAATCTTTGTATTATTATTTCTAATCTGTTTCCAACATTTTATTCCCAAATAAATAAAATCTTTAATTATAAGCAAATTGAAAAAAGGAGAATTTATGAACTGTAATCATAAAGCTTTACTACAGTGTTCTATCTAAATCATTGCGAGTACGACATACGTATTTCTATAATATATTCCAACCTAGCAAGATAACGATTTCGTGTGTATGGCTTTTGCTAAGTTTATAAGACGAACAAAAGTGAGGAAAGACATTGAGGGAATTAGTGTCAGTTTGTTCTTTTGGTGATATCGAAAAGATTCCGCGGATCAGAGAGGGGAGGAATTATGCCAACTGTTGCGCTTCGGGATGCCGCGCGTCGATACAATTTGCCGCGGCAATGGCGGTGATAGCGGCGGAGGCGGCGGTAACGGCGGCGGCGGCGGCAGCGTCGCGCGCCGATAGATTGGATACATCGATACACCGGTTGTATCGTGACGTGAGGTGGCAGAGGGGGCGAAAGCGGGAGATGGGGGGGGGAGAAGGAGGCAGCGACAAAAAAACGCAATGACAGCCCGACGCGATACGCACAGCTCTTGCGGCGGGCTGCGCCCCTAGGAGCCCGAGACGCGTCGTGTCTTTCGAATGGCGACGGGCCGCGCATTGTGTCGCATCGAGACGCTCGAGTCGGCCGGAACTCGCCTACCACCACGGGGGAAGACGCCAACGGCGGCGGCGGCGAACGGCGGCGTCGCGCACGCAGATCAATGGGAGCAAAAAAGTGCGCGCTCCCACAAGACGCAATCGGCCTTTCCTGATTCTTCGTTTGACATGACAAAAAATGCCATGCCCCCTTGGCTCGCCTCTTGGCATAATGGGGCGCCATGAGCGAGCGCTGGTTGCACACTCGGCCCGGTCGTTCGCGGTTATTATTTCGCGGTATATCCGTCCAATCCACCCGACTGGGCGGAGCGCGATGAGGGGGGATGGCGGGTAATGGGAGGGGAGGTGAGTACCCATTCAGCGCGCGGTATATCGCGCGAAAAAATGGCCGATGGCAGGGAAAGCACGTGGCAGGTTTGGCATTGATAAATCGCCGCTGGATATTCCGCCGTTCCGCGCGAAAGTCAAAGCTCGCCGCTTCAACTCTATCGCGCAAGCCCCTGGTCCCCCGCCCCGGAATCGAGCGCGGTTTTCGGCGATGGACGTGGCAAGGAAGGATGTCGTTTCTGCGATCCTGGTGCCACCGTGGTCATCAACATTCTTTTCGCCATCGGGCGAAAACGCTCTCCTTTTCTCTCGAGGCTTTCTCCATGCAAATGCGATTGATAAACGCACGAACTCTTTAAAAAGCAAAATACAAATAAAATTAAGATTTCAAAATTTCTTTTCTTGACAGCTAGACATCTTCCTCAAGATCCCTAAAAAAATTGTGCACATATATCTAATTGCAATTAATCAGCAAGATTAAACGACAATGTTTATTATCTATTAAATCGTCTTGTGATTAAATTTTTGATTACATATTACGCGCCATATTAATCATTGCTTATCCTTTATACATCTAAAGAAATAATAATTCGAAATGATAATTAATAATTTTTATTATCTCTAAATTGTAAATCTTATTGTTGTTTATCATTCATACTTTGTTTTAACTGCAATGTTTTATATAATGAAATGTAATTGTATATGTTTACATGTTTTACAGATTTGAGTTATGAAGACGCTTTGAGAGACGGCGTTCTGCTCTGCAGGCTCATGAACAAATTGCAACCTGGTTTGATTTCCAAGATCAATACATCTGGTGGAGATTATAAAATGATGGACAATCTTAATCAGTAAGTATATATTACATTGAATTTAAGACAATAAATACACTCAAGAAAATATGGAAAATTATTTAAATATTAAGTAAATCTTGCAAAATATAATAATATGATATGTAATTATTATGAAATTATTCATTAAATAATTAATATTTAAGTTTAAGATTCTGCTTGAGATGATATTTTTCGCTATAAATTTCTCATCAATAATGAAGGATTTTTAGCTAATGATTATTAATATTTTTAATTATTAATTTACTTATTGATACTCAGTTGTCGATCGTTATTTCTCTAACGTAAATTTAACGTTTCCAATATTCCTGTAATGTAAAAATATTCCGCGTCGACAAAAAGCGAGTCAGATAATTTCCTCGCGCGGTGAGATATCCCGCCTTCTGTTGGCGTCGCGCCTCCTGCATCTTCATGATCTCCTAATCTGCCGTCGACTTTACGCAATCGACAGTGTTTTGCGTCAATTCCTCGACTGCGGAGTATCGACAACACCGATCAACGACCGTCGTTGCGAGTCGAGAGATTGTTGACCCTCGCGAGACTCGGCCGAGTTTCGAGAGTCGCGCGATATCGCCGGACCGAGCGACTGGGCGCGAAACTCTCCGCGAGGCGTATCACCGGCTCCTAACTCGTTTCTGCTTGCCTGGCAGCCGAGAACCGACAAAGTCTGAGGTCGGGACCATCGACTATACATTGGAGCGCGATGAAAGTGAAAGCGCCGATAGTTATATGCGGCAGAGACACGTAGCGTGGCCGCTTCCACAAACGCGCGGAAAACAGGAAGCCGCGAACCTTCATGCGTTACATCACACGCGCTCTTTCTATGCTTTTTCTTCGATATATCAAGCTCCTCCAAATTATATATGCATATGCATAAAAAATTAGCGCAATGCATTGCGAATTAATCAGTTTATTGAATCAATTGAAAATCAAATTTTCAAAGTTTATCAAACTTTTGTCAGTCACCAGTCGGCAATTTGCCATACCACAAGATTCCAAGTGTAATATTTTTTTCTTTCCAAATTTGAAATGTCCTTTTACCTTTAAGTGCCTCACATGTTGTACGTTTTTGACAATACACATAAATAATCGGCCGGCGATATATATGTATGACGTAGTTGCAATCCGAAAATAGGATATATCCGAGTCGAACGCCTGTAGCACACTGCTACAATCCTGATGAAGTATTTGCCTGCGAGGAGGTGATTTTAGGACAGTGCAAAAAGAAGCGCATCCTCGAATGGTCTATAAAACTAACTTTCCCTTTTCTCGCTAAGCGGGATAAACGAGATTATATCCTATTCGGCTGCCGGACAAATGCGTCGGATACGTACATTCCCCACGATCCTCTTTTCTCTTCCGACGATCTCGCGGCCGCCTCGGCAATCTTCTTCCCCGGGAGGGACGCGCGCCTCCACGTTTCTCGCGTTCGCGCGTCTCGCGCTCGTCGCCGTCGCCGTCGTGCATTGCGGTGCGCATGTCGCGCTTCTTCGGCGTTTGGCGCGTTTTGAATGTTTAAGAGCGCGTCCCCGCGAAGTAGTGGGGCGAACGATGCGCAGCGCGGCCACTCCGCGTTACTCCCTTTCTACGCGAGCAGCATGATCCCGGCGAAGGTGAATACGCGGGGCAGCCTCGTCCCCGTCGCCGGCGGTGTACCGCCACCGCCACCGCCACTGCCACCGCCACCGCCGCCGCCGCGGCCACACCGCCGCTGCCGTCGTTGCCGCCTCACGCGCCGGTGCTCGCTGCACATTGTGTCTTGGCGGAGCCAAGCGTAAGATCACGCGTACACTGCACAACGTGGAGGGATCTCGTGTGTCGCACGCCAACCCGGTGTCCCCTCATGCGGCTCTGATAGTCGGACCGCTCGTGAGCACTGACCTGCCTCACGTTCTCCGCCCGAGTGCAACAGGTCGATCATGCTTGATCGATATACGCTATGGCTATGGATTCTGATAGGTTTTCTACCTTTTGGGAACAACAATTTTTATTTTTAATATTCCTATACAGTTACGGAGAAATTTAGATAGTTTTATTTTTAAAAATCTGTTATAATTAAGAGCTTTGTGTTAAATATTCAACACATTTCTATTTTCTATTTAAGACAAGTCCGTTAACTGGAACACTTAACAAAAATTAAATTAATTTGAAATGTAAAATTATTAAAGCATTAAAAAAAGAATATTAAAGTAATGTAACATGTACGTATTTTAAATCAATAAATATAATTAATATTATATATAATTAGATTAATATTGATATAATATTAATATAATAATATTATATAAATTTTGCGACATTGTATTCCTAAACGCATTTCACATTTTACATTTACATTTTATATTTATCAGCCATTGGAAAGCTCAGAATATTACCATTTTACACATTTAAAACAAATCATTTCCTTAATTTTTCCTAGTTTTTATTATTGATATATTAAATTGAAATATCGTCATTATTTTCAATAAAAAAATATTAAAATTAAATATCAATAATAACTATACATGATTTATACATATAAAGATTAAATATAAAAGGATTATATTTAAAATATAAGAATTTTTCCAATGACAGATGTGCAAATATATAAAATTGCACGAATCCTCATTTGTATGCACAAATTCTTTCTCAAAGAAGCGCGAGATCGGCAATTTCCATTGTGGTAGACATGGTTGAGAGGGTGACGTCGTCTTCGAAGTGGAAACGAAGGACGATTCTGTTATCCTGTTAAACGGGCACACGCGACCCGTCATTTCTGCGACGCGAAGAACAAAGGCCCACCGCGTTGTCGTATTCTCGTCTGGTTGCCGCACAATCCGTTAATTACGCCGCGATAATTAGCAGCCGAACAATAGAAGCGCGTCGCTAACTCAAGGCGAAGCTCCGGCGAGCAGCCGTATAAAGGAGTCGAACGTAGCGTGCTTCTCTTTTGTTTCTCCCTCGCCTTTGTTTTCCTTCCTTTGACTTGTTGCCATTTCTGACACGGTGCGTCCCACGGCTCCTCGATGTAGACATTTTCTGTCTCTTTCTGCGTTTATTTTTCAAAATATTTCACAAATGAACATGAGAAATTATATGAATTTTTTTATTGAATTTATTAAAAGCATTATACTTCATTTTTTTATGGAATTTATTGAAGCCATTGAAAGATCGTATTGATAAATATATGTATTTCGTTTCTTTTTCCAGATTCCAGAAAGCCTGTGTGAAATATGGCGTACCTGACGTTGATCTCTTTCAAGCTGTTGATCTGATCGAACGTAAAAATATCGCTCAAGTGACAAACACCATCTTTGCTATCGGACGAACGGTAATTAATTAATAACACTTTGTCATTTCATTATTTTTAGATTATTAATATTTTAGTAAAGTAAAAGCAGATTTGTTTAAAAAGGATTTTTTTGACAAATACTATGTAATAAATTTTCGTTTTTGCGAATCTGAAAGAACAAGTAACGTTTATGAATTCAGCACTTTATAATGATTATATTATTTTCTTAAGTGTATTAGGTAAAAATGAAAATACATTGTTTGTGATTTACAGACGTATAAGCATCCCGAATGGCGCGGTCCTTGGCTCGGCCCGAGACCAGCGGAGGAGAATAAAAGAGCTTTTACAGAGGAACAGCTAAGGGCTGGCGAAGGACTCATCGGTCTTCAAGCTGGTACCAACAAGGGAGCTACACAAGCCGGGCAAAACTTCGGGGCTACGCGAAAGATACTTCTTGGAAAATAATTTATAGAATTTACATTTTTTTATTGCCGTTAGAAAATATTCTGTTTGCAAAATGTATTTTTTGAATGTCATCATAACTTAAAATTAGGAAAATGAAGTGTTTACAGTGTTCAGTGCTTAAACGAGCGAACTAATAATTTATAATTCTTTACAATTATATATTTATAATTCTTCTACAATTAGAGAGAACGTGAATATCTTTACAGACATTAAAGAAAATTGAACGCCAATGAATATCAACGTACAAATGTATCAGGCGTGTTAATTATTTCATGTCTTATAATATGAATATTTATTTATGACAAAATGTATTTCATGAAGTAAGCAATACACGAGAGCAGTGCATCGAGACGACTAAACTCTTCATTCCCGCTCCAAGTGGATTTCCAAGCCGGATACAATCTATATCTTCTCTATATTCGCGGCGAAATTCCTAGAGCGAATCTTGTCGCTCTTGCTAGTTTCCTGGCAGCTCGCTCGGCTTCCGACAATCGTCTTCTACCGCGTGTTCTGTGTCCGTGCGCGCACACGTCTCCGGGCCGCACGCGTGTCACGTTCGCGTCGACTTTCCCGCAGACGCTCTCGAGATCGCTCATTGTGCCGCGTTCGAGATCGCTCATTGTGCCGCGTGTATACGTGCGCGGCGCGGCGCCGGCGTGTCGGCGTGTCGGCGTGTCGGCGTGTCGGCGTGTCGGCGTGTATACGAGCGGCGCGACGCAACACGCATGCAGGTCGCGGGCGGAGGCGCGTATGCGAACGTCGTCGGGTCTCGTACGTGACGTGTGGACGACGAGTGGGCGTGACGTGTACGTACACGCGTTACACGCATTCCTTGACCGGTTTCTACACTGCGAGGCTCCTCGAGGATCAGGCGAGCATCCTAAGACGGAACACGCCGATGTTCCCGCTGATCCGAAATCATGCCGCTCCGTTTTTTTTCCCCTCTCCGCGCGCTCCGCGCCGCCGTTGCACGTACGCCGTTGCTCGACGCTCTTCTCTGTCGCTTCTTCTACCACACACGTGAACGACACACGTCAATGCCGAAGACAATGCTCGAGATCGGAGAGCCAGGAGGAATAAAATTACGTTAATTAAGATAGAAAATATTTCAAATTTAAAAGATAAAATGTGTTTTAAGCGGATTACTAACAGATAATTGGTATTACATTTAATTGATGATAAATAAAGTTAATTGAAATTATTGATTTCTGCTAAGCTTTCCAATGTGCAATATTTATGCAAAATCCTAGCCTTTGAATTATTCGTAAATAACGATGTAACCAATGTAACCAATTGTATCAGAATCGGATTAAGTGGCTTTACAATGTCGATGATTATGTGCTAAAATAAATTGAAATAAATAAGCCACAGAACATGCAACAAATTTCAGAAACACATTTATTCATAAATGTAAATAAAATATAAGCTATCATAAAACTATCATAAAACTATCATACTGGCTGGGCTTAGCAATATTGATCAAACTTAGGAAATTTATTACATCGAACAAACAAAAACGCATACACAAGTGGAGAAGTATGCACTATGATTCTCAGGAACACAAACCAGAAAGGCGATCCTTTTAAAAAAGAGAGAGAATGAAAGAAGAATGGATTTTCCTTCTCTCTTTTAAAAAAGAGAGAAGAAAAATCCAACTATATACTTAAAAATTACAAGACGATCATTTTTTTCACTTTTTCGAATTTCGAGTCGAATTTTTATACGATATCGAGTCTCCTTTTTCCTCGCAATCGACATCTCGTCGTGCGTCCACCCGGCGCTCCTCCACGCGTGCAATGACGTGGTCTGGAAACCGTGGTCGATCGTGGAGCAGGCCAGTTCTCGGGGACCCCCAGGCACAGGATCACATCACACCGAGGAGCCGATTCCGCGTCACGATCGCGGCTCGGATCCGCGGTCTCAACCTGCCTCCCACCGTCTTATGCGTTCCTCTTGAAAGGGGAGCGCTGCGGAGTGGCCGCTCCGCGCATCACTGCGCCCCACTATTCTTCCACGCACTCGCACTCGCAAGCCGCGCGCGTACGAACGCGCCGCGGGCCGTGGATCTCTCGACCGCGGATCGCCGCGGTCAACCCGCTCTTTTTCTGCTCTTTTTCTCTTTCCCCGTCGTGCGCGGCGGGCCCTGCGACGAGACCCTCGGAACCGCGATTCGTTATCGATGTTTCGTTATCGCGACAGCGGAAAAAAAAAGCGAGAAGACGATAGCTAGATCGGGAAATTCCAAGGAAGACTCTTCACGCGATTGGCGATTGAACCGAGAATTATTTAATGAATCTGAAATAGAAAAGAAATCCCTTAGTATCCTTGGCACGAATTCCGAGACGATCCGTTGTTTCTTCGCATTTCTCTCTCTTCTCGAGCACCGCTCTTGTGACCGCCGACACTGAAGGATAACCCTCGCTCCGTCGAGCGAGTGGTAGAAATATCTCAAATAAGAGAGTCTCATCTATTTTATATAGATGCTATTTAACACACACACACAACACACACACACACACACACACACACACACACACACACACACACACACACACACACACACACACTACTACCACATACTCATTCAAATCGCACATGTCGGGGGAACAGTCCGAATGGCTTACGCGCATTCGAGAGACACGCGACTCTTTCATGTTCCTGACAACCTATTCGCGTGGAGTTCATTGGTACGTTTCCACGGTGCTCCGTGCTGTAGCACCCGACTCGAATGCGAATGACCCACAAACTCTCATGTGCGTTATCCTCCTTTCCCCAGAGCCACGCCGACTACCTTGGCGTTCATGATTCCCCGGTAGACAGTCGCCGAAAACTTTTGTCGCACGTCACTCGTCGTCGTCAGGTATATAAACTCACTAGCTCTCCAGACGGAATTAGTCAGTCGGGAACTATCTGCTCGATTAATCGCGTGGCCTTAAAGTCGCGATGTTTCTATCGCCATGCGATATACATACAAGCCGTTAATTGCGACGTTACTTGCAAATTGTCACTGCGGTTTTTATAATCTTCTCTGAAGAGCCATTGGTTTCTTTTGATTTTTTTTCCTTACCTGGCAACAATAAGACATGATGCATGAAGTATTTACTTCCGAAATGAAGTATTTTTTTTTCTTCGAAAGATTACACAGCTTCATATAAACTCATGATTAAATCATGAGTTTGTATGCAACATATTAAATTATATGTTAAAAGGACATATGTATGCAGCTTTAGTATTCATTAAATGCAAAGATCTGTCATTTAAAAGGTCGACTACGTATTGGAACAGCTGTTCAGAAAAATCGATAGCCTCAAGTAATTACTTGAGGAAATCGATAATTCTGCGGCAGAAGATTACTTTCTAAAAATAAGTGATGATTGATGTATAAAATAAAAAAGTAGAAGAATTTGAGTCACCAGTTAATATGATAATTTTGCAATAGTCTGTACTTCGTATTCGTTTATTAAAACTATTTATATTTCGCAATAAGTTTATTCATTTTGTAAAATGCGAGAGTAGAATTTTGTTTGTGTAAATCATCTAAATAATATATAACAAATTATATGTATAAGTATGTGTGTGTGTGTGTATATATATATATATATATATTAAACTAATAAAAACTGTGAACTATATTATACATACAACCAATGCGATATAATGAACACATTAATTTATTTTTTTTAATTTCCAAGCCCTATTTTTTAATAAAAATTGTTTTACTAAAAAATTCAACTATAGAATGTTCTCTTGTATAATATGTACATGTTTATATTAAGTCTTTTCGAATTTTTTAAAATAAAAAATAAAATGTTTTCTACATACACAATTTTTAAAATTATAACAATAAACAATTATCTCTTTCTTTTTTTCCTTTTCACATTTTTAAGCACCGCACTCAAATGAACTAAATTGACGGAGCTAGATGAGTTATTGATTCTAATTTGGCCTTGAGATCCTCGAGAGCCTTTACAATTAAAATATTCACAAGCCGGCGTGTATAAACATAACATTCACATCAATATTCTTGCCAAGGTGAAACTATGCATCTGCGTTGTGTGTATTTCTCTCCCGACAGGCATATCAAAATGATTTATCGTTCAAGCATGCCTTTAACGCCGAGTCTTATGGACCTCGGTTGAAATATTAGCCTCGATGTGCTATTTTGAGAATCGTCTATTTCTATGTACCGGCAGAGACAGCCCTCTGATCCCCGCCGCCATCTGTGAAGCAGCATGAAACGAAATTTCTTCATGCGCAGTTGATAGCTGATTACTTGCATCTCTCTCGATCTCCACTTCGACTCCCTCGACTTCGGATTTGCATGCTTTGAGAGGAGTAAGACAGGAGTGAATACGTATGCAAAACGTATTCTAAAGATGGAAAGAGGTGTCAGCAAGATACTCGATGTATCGTGGAGATTCGGAGGTGAGATAAACTAAACGTTATAGACTGAATCTAGACGTTTGTCGTCATGTTTATACTTTTAGGTTATTCATGGATGTTTTTCAGCAAGTGACACAAATGACCAGAATTGGGATGCAACGCGTTAGTTAGAAATCGTTATTTTTTTTTCGATAACGAACTGATAACGATTATACTTTTTTTTTTTTAATGATGCAGTTGCACTTGTCTGGTAATAACAAATGTAATCATTATTTTGCACATACAATTATTAGACTCAATGTACACAAAAAATTTTATATTTAATATATAATAACTATGCTCGTATGAAATATAATTTCTCATTTGATTATCCACTTATTTACATATAAACAAAATGAAATTAATGAAAATATTGTTTTTTAGAAGTTAGATTTTAATGTAGATTTTTATAAAATATAAAAAAATATAAAATATAAAAAATATAAAAATAATCAATTACAATGTTTACAGTAACGTTATAATATAAATAAAAAAGTTCTCAATGAAAACTTTTAATCAATTTGAAATTTCTTTTCTTGTTAAAACAAATATACAATTAGTACAACAACAGTGTAGTCCTTGCTGAAGAACATCTCATATTTCATATTAAATTCTGTGGAGTACAAATATCGATTTTTATTAGATTTTTATTAGATAGATTTTATTAGATGTATTAAAGCAAAAGCAAAGACTTTACTTTTCGGTTACTGTTAATATAAGAATCATATATAGTCATTCTCATATTATCATTTTAAATTTTGTATTAAATTATCTTTAATAGTGACTAATAATAAACTTAAAATAATTTTATATAAATTATGTTTCTTTTCGAAATTATATTCTTATTTATGTAATGTATTCTCGTAATGATATCAATCATCAATAAATAACCATGTTATTTTTTACTGCTTTTAGTGACTGTAGCAAGTAACGATTCTGACAATGTTGCAAAGTCATTTCTACAACTTAAGTTATGTCTTGATGATGATGGTAAAATCAGGAATGTGTTTACTGAGATGACAATAGCACAGTTTTACAAATTTCTACACGATTTGGAAAAAGCAAAATGTAATCTCGATTTGTTACTGTAAGCAAATACACATATTAAAAGAATTTCATATATATGTATATATTGTCCATATAAGATGTATTATATTTACAATTCAAGCAATTATTTAAAAAAAAATCTTTTTTATATTTCTTTGTAATCTTTTTCTCTACATTATTTAAAAATATTTACTATCTTAAGAGTAAAAACTTCGCTTATCTCTAATAAGATAATAATACTTTAGTAACGTTCTTTAAATAACATTTTCGCAAACTTAATAATCTTAACATTAATTCAAAATTTATAACATATGGCTCGGTCTAACTGAAAATTATAATATTAAGTATGTAGAAAACTACATATATTTTTCAGATTTTTCATTTCTATCAGAACACTTATTAATTTTTTTGTTAATAACATAATTCTATTCTCATTCTATTTCTTATTTCGACTTATTTTTAAATATTGTCAATTTAATTTTTATTTACGTCACTTGAAAACAGAGCATAATATCATTAGATTCAATATATAAAACTGCGATAAAATTGCGTAATATATTTAAAAAGTATACTGATAGATTTTGTTAATTTTAATCATGTATAAGATGTTCTATACTTAATAGATCAAACTACAGCTTTGAAACAAAAAATAGAAAGCAATGTTATAAGACAAAACATGACTTTAATTTTTTACTTTTACTATCATAATTATATGCATAATATGATTATAATTCAAATTTTGTTCTTTAATATTTTCTTTCATTTCTATCCACCTCAAAGTCATAGTTTGAGCTAATGGAAAATTAAGTATATATTTTAAGATTATACATTTTCAACAATTAAATAAGTATAATAAATAATCAAATAAGTGAAAGAAGTTTAAGAATTTTTACAAAAAAATTGAAGGCTTTATTAGCTGCGATTAGATCTTATTATTGTTTTGGTATAGAATTTTACGTGTTTTTTTAAACGTTGTAGAACAAGGTCGGTCATGGATCACATTATATATATTAATATGTGTATAAATAATTATCAGCAAAATTTCTAATTATCAACAAACATATCTTTCTGAAAGACAAAAATGTTCGCTATAAACAATTATGATTAAATATATTATAAATATTTGACCAAAACGGATAACTTAATAAGATAACTCCTACCTTAAGAGATTGCTATTCCTTTCCTTTTCTTTAGAAAAATATATACAGACTTCTTACATCTACGTCGCTCTTTGATTAAACTATGCATATTATACATATTGTACATATTGTAATATAATAATTTATATTTCCTTGAAACAATTATATTTTATCAATATCCACCCAAATTTTCATGCAGGCTTGGTTGTGAAGAATGTATAATCTGAAAGCAATATAAAATATATTTTTTATAATCAAATACGAATGTTTCTATTTGTGGAATGAGTGTACGTGTTGTCTGTGGATATGTATAAATGTAGGTGCAAGAGGTTTTATAAAAGACAAAATGAGTATGTATCAACAGTAAATACAAAAGTAAGAAAAACTTTATTTATTCTTCAACAATACATTCATGGTTGACCATCCATATTTCCCGGCTTAACAAAATTATGTAGTCATCACAATTAGGAATATTAGAAGTAATTTAACAATGCTATATTTTACAGCAATAAATAAGTTTTTATGTAAAAATAAAAGAAAATATTTAACACATCTCGTTAACTAGTAATAAAAATATTTATATTATCAAATGCTTATATACATTATCTACTATAAAATTTACGACAATTTTTATAACGAGATTATATAAAATATTTGAAATTTAATTTGTCGAATATTTATTGTTGATATACTATTTGGAATGACTCTGGCCCAATTATCTTATATTAATTCTACTACACACGTATCTTATATGTATCAAATGTAATTTTAATAAAAGATAAAAAAGAAATATATGCTATATATTGTAAAAAATGAACTCGGATATAAAGTTCGTCACTTTAATACTGGTGCTATAAAATACTATTAAGAAGATAGCGGAAAAATGAATGATGAGCCGTATATCAAACGCATTCCAAGGAATAAATATATCAATAAACTATCTTTGACGGAATAATAGTACAACATATTCGATCTTCTGGTGTTTAAAATTCTCGTATTTGAACGAACATATTAGAGTAAATACCCGTTTGAAAAAATTTGGTCTTGTGAAAAGGTCGTGCGACAGGATTGACAGTTCTAAAAGCCTTGCGTCTAGGAGGAAGCGGACTGAATACAGCACCTCTTTGGTTATTAGGCTCTGCTAATGCTAGCGCAGGATTTGTTTGTTCGGATGATGAACTCTCTTGCAGCCTCAGTGCGTCGATTTGCAAGGATTTGCTCCTTTCTGCTCTTTGCTGGATAGATTCTAACACTGGTTGAATTGCACCGAGCAATGGTCGTTTGCACGGTTCTGCAGACCAACATTGTTCCATTAACGTCCAGCATTCCTCATCAAAATGCGGCAATCTTTCGGGCCTAAGACCTAAGACATGAAATCATACATATGCTTAATATAATAAAATGCACTGAGACAAACACAAAACAATAATTTAAAAACAAAAATATTAGTAATGTAGTATTATTACTACAAAAATATTAGTAATGGTGTGTAATTTAGAATTAACATTCTTTATCATTACTTAAATTTAAAAGTTAAAAATTTTAATATTTTTTTCTTGAAATATAATACAAATATTTTTATAATATTCGTTCATTTGTTTTTTATGTTAAAGTATTACCTTTTCGAACACTTGTCCACAATTGCTCCTTGTTATGAAATTGCTCAAATGCATAGGGTAATCGAACCTTTCCAGCACATATGTACCAAAACAAGATGCCGAAAGCATAGACATCGACACTGCTGTCGTAATGGCCTGACAGAAGTTCTGGTGCCATGTGAATCGGTGTTCCTACGATACTACCCGACATCATAGCTTCAGTAATACAAAATCCGAGATCAGTTAGCTTAGCTCTATTTTCCGTATCAAGTAAGACATTCTTTAGTTTAATATCACGATGAACCAAGCCTTGCGAGTGAAGATAACGTATTCCCTCTAGCACATCTATCGCTATTTGTATACGTTCCAGCCATGAAAGACCGGCGTGTATACCGCAGTACAAATCGCGACTTAATCGATCAGTGATTAAAAGAACTGCAGCGCCTAATCCAAATCCTCCGCCGTACGACTGATCAACGACAGATCCGCGAAGCTTCACTATCCTTTTGTGATCTGGTATCGATCTGGTATAGTAAACCTCCATCGCGAGATCGTTCCAATGTCGTTCGTCCGGTGGAACAACGGATTTTACCGCGCACGGTCCTGGTGCTCCTCCCCAACCATCGCAAGCAAATACCACACCGTACTGTCCCCTGCCAATCTCCTTGCCGTAATGAGGAATGCCAAAGCGAATAGCATCCATCATCGATGTGGATTCCAACGCGAGTTTAGCTAACTTGGGCGCGTGATATTTTCGTATGGCTATTCTCTGTTCCTCTGTTCTTTCTAACTTTCCCGAATAATAATTTTCCAAAGATTTTAGGGCAGTTTGGAAGGCATCGTGCGACGATTTCAACTTGTCTCTGAACTGCATAGAAATTGTTCTAGCCAATCTCGCTGCCGACAAGGAATTTAAGATATCGATAGTGACCTTTCTTCTCCAAGCCGCGTCCAAAGTCGGTGTGGGTGCCCATGGCAGCGGTAAGGACTTGAAAAGCTGTCTCAATCTTTCCAGGAACGAGTGCACCAAGGACGGTGATGAATTATGCAATTCTACGTTGTATGCAGCAGAAAGTATTTGTTTTAAAGCATCACTAGCTAGCAGACCGCTATCGTGCTCGTAAGTTTTCTCGAGACTTATTAGGCAACGTTGAAGAGTTCCGACAAAAGTCTCTCGAAGACAGTTAACCGAATTTACGAGTTCTTTTGCGACTTTCTCACCTAAACGGCCAAGCACGAATCGTTGAACTTCCGATGTCGCGACGCGTACAGTAACTGTCCATTCTGTTCGCTCATTATCATCGAAAGGGACAGTCTGATATTGAAAAACATCACCGGTAGATCCTAATATATCGTCTTTCATTTCCTGAATAATACACTGTATTAACTCAGTCAATTCCATCTGCTGCTCGTTAACAACCTTCATTAGACTAGCATAAAGTTCATTTTCCTTTTGTTGAGCGTACTGTATCCTTCTAGGAGTAATCTGTATTTTTCGTGCCATGTCAAATGCACTTAAAATAAACTTACGTAAACTGGTCGTATGTATTTCATTCAAATAAGTGCTGGCATTAATCAGATAGCTTTGTAAACAGACACGTGTGAAATGTAATATGCGATCTGTTTTTTTGCATGAATCCACTAGATCGCTCGAATTATTAACGTATTGCTCTCCGACGAGCCACATTAATTGATGAACTTCCATAGACTCTTCCATCCCTAGAAATCCTAAGCTGCTTAACTGATCTAGCCATGTTAAACCAAGTGAATTCATTTTGTCAATATTAATACTATCATCATTTTTCGACTCCTTAGACACACTTGGCATTTCTATTCGATTTTGCAGACTGTGTTGCTCAGATTCAGTCAATTCTGCATCTGTGCCATCTAATGAAACATTAGCTAATGAGGAGATGAATAAAATTGGATTATATGGATAAGTCTCTTTTAAGTCTCTCAATTCTTCCAAATTTTCCTCAGTCAATGGTTGTTCTCCAAGAGCATAAAGGAATATGGGTAAAATTTTCAATAAACCCTTGGCGAGAATTTTCACTACACCATTGTTGGGAACAACGAATATTTGAACACCTTCTTTCAATATTGCTTGCTCTAACTTCACTTCCAGCACTGTTGGATAATTGATATCTTCGTTTATTGATTTTTCCAGATCTTCGAGAGGAAGCGTGCTCCATGACTTTTCGTTTGCACGTAACGTCTCGACTACTTCGTATTCTAAACCTAATGTGAGACTGACATGATTGGTATGACCATAAGTAATCTTGATCCATCTCCATAAATCATTGGACAATGGCAAGATATCGGCAGAGAGCAAGTTGTTAACCAATGAAGCTTTAGCTTTATTGTCTTGCCCAAAAATGACTATTGCAGGAGAATTATCAAGAATATGCGTCACTCTATCCAAGATTAATGGAGGTAGTAATTCCTCGATGATGTTCTCTATAAAGAAATATTTATCTGTATAAGTAAGGTCAACTAATAATGTAATAGACAAAATCAAACATGGATAATTACCTCCAGGAAAGAAATTTTCAAGTTTTATCACTTCCAATGTACGCTGCGTATCCTCAAGTATATGCTGTAACTGATTCCTGTTCCGCTGATATCTCCTGAATTCTTGTGGTAAATTGCTTACCATTTTTCTCACGTTATTTTAGTCATGTATACATTCCACAAAATGGTCATACCCTACCAATGTTATTACACTTTTAATAAGATAACAAAAAGCATCTTTAGTATTCAGAACTCGAAAATACACACTACAACAGTATGCCAAATGCTGTAAATTAGATATTTCTCGAGACGTAAATTAGGTTATAGCGACGAATGCAAATTTATATCATCTCTCAAACTCACTGTCAGCAACAGGACATATATCTATAGAGCTATAGAGCTATGAAAAGCTGATGTAAACAATGTTCGCTAAGTGTGAATCACGTCCGAGAATAGTGCTCGCGTGTGATTGTCAACAGGGAAATCAACTAAAAAATCATAACCGCAGGTCGGGGGGTTTACTTGACGAGGGGGATTTCTCTCGACGAGCTGTCATCGTGGTCGGGACGTCGTGCATTGACTATTCTTTTTTTTTTTTTTTTTTTTTCGTTCGCGATATCGAGGTCGGCATTCAGCTCACCAGCGTAGGATTTCTCGCGGTCACAGCCATATGAGCGCGAGGGAGAAGATTCATCAGGTTCACCAGGTCATCCAGCACGGGTAATTCGCGAACGATAGCTTACGCGAAATTGCGTATCGCGTATCGAGACAGATTATGCCGGCGCATGACTGCCGGGACCAGACTCCAGCAAGTGACTGAAGCGCGGTGGTTTGGGATTCGAGGGGTAAAGGGATGTACCGCGCTTTCGCGCGCGCTTTTGCTGATGAAAGTGCGAGAAGCTACGCGCGATTGAAATGCACGTTAAGCTTCATTCACACACGCGCGCGCGCGCGTGATCCATCCATCCGCTGTATCTGGATATTCTTGAAACATATCGCATACAAATACGTTACGTATACCATGGGATTTTTGCATGTGACACGTTTTAAGGTTAGGTTCCAAAAAGTTCCTCCCGAGGAAAATTTTATTCGGAAAAAACAGCTTGGAACGTAATCCAAAAATAGAACTCCTTCGACACATGACCGAATAGAAGCTAGATAAGACAGTATGCAGATGTTATCGACAGATCACACAGCCGCATTAGCATCTTAAGACTTGAAGTAAGAATCGACTAAATGAATATCAGCTTTAGGCTGCGTTTCACTTAATGTGACGCGCGACGCTCTCAGAATCATTTCATCTTTGTTGTTTACTAAATATGTTTACTAAATATTTTATTAAATATTAAACAAGAACGGACGATGATCGTGAGCGTGTGAACGCGTTAAGTGAAGTGCAGCCTTATCAAATTGAGATTTTCATCTCTAGCGAGGAAGGGGAAAGCCACGTGTTGCCGTCAGCTGTCAAGCTAGCTAGATCTTTAGCCTTGAATATAAGAGGAGTTCTCCTTTTCTCCAGGGAAAATATCTTCTGAATCTGATCGAGGGGATCTTTGAAAAAAAAGAAACTGAATCTCAGACTGGAAATCAGCATCTCGTATGACTCCAATGTAGAGAGAAACTGATGGATCATCCTTGGACTCGCTTTTTCGCCCTTTGTTCGCACTTCGATGCGATGAGATGGTTTAGACGTTTATTGAGTTTTACAGATGTACAGACGTAAACACATACGTTGTATGTAAATGTATAATTCAAGACTTACGATACGCGTTATCTTTTCGATGATTGCTCGCACGGCTCCTCGTCTCGGCGGTGAAACTTTATTAACGCACAATCCGCTCAATCCACTCTCCCTCTTCATCGTCCGATTGACCGAAATATTCTTATCCGATTTTGTGGCTCGCCGCGATCGTCACTACTTAATATAAATATTCATTTAAAGATATTAAGAATTGCTAAGCACCAGTGGACGTGCCGATGGACCTACCTTCTTCTCGGTGGAACGGTGCACTGCCCCGTTAACGTACGTATACGTGTGACGTCACTAGTCGCGATTAGGGATACGCGAGCCAGAGAACGGGGAAAAACGTTAAACAAGACTCCCCCGTTTGCGCAGATAATTCGCGCGCGGCGATGTACCGAGACTTCGCGTTTTTTAGGGACTGACCTGCCGCGTTAATCTTCCCGCTCTATTAAAGCCCCTCTCATCGAATCGGCCGATAAACAATAATCGCGGTGTGCGAGTGAGATGCAAAATGTGCATGCGAATCCGCGATCGCGGCAAACTCGGGAAATCTCCCTCATATATACATCTCCACCACAATATATAGATTAATATTGTAATTAGATTAATTTTAATCTCTTGGTTTTACTTATATTTTTCCTCATATTTTTCCAATTCTTGAAGAACTAAAGAAAACTAAAAATTAAGTTAATCCGAGATTAAAGTTTATCTACATTGGTAGAAATAAACATATCGAATTTCGACTTCGACCGAAGTTCGATTAATCTAAGCAGATTTATTTAATTTCTAGCAAATATAATTCGTTTGTATTACAAAATGTCAGAAATATCCTTTTCGTGAAATTAAAAAACCAAATCACACATCCTCCCATATGAAATATTCGAGTTTGCATCAAACAACCTTGCGATGATCTATTCCTCAATTTATTTTAGCTAACGGAGTTTTACATAAAATCACATGTTTGTATTTTCGTATGAGCAAAAGTTTACAGTTTAGGAAGTATATTCAATATTTTCGTTTACATTTTATGTGAAATAATTGGATTGGCGACATTGGGCGAAACGAGAAAAATATGCATCGATGATTCGTCTGATCTCTCGAAGTAGCAAATCAACCATGCTTTATTCCGCCAGAGATTCTATTGAAATCTGCTCGGAGTGATTACTTTGCTCTCATTACTTTGTATATATATATCTGTCGAGCGATCGCCTCGACCTTTGTGGAAAATCTCCACTGCACTATCGGTCGTTTCGAATACACAATGCAGTAAGAGCACATGTCGGTATAGTTTTGATCTCTGTATGCCAGTCACGTGATTGTATGGTCATTTTTGTATTTGACATTTCAGGAACGAATAAAAAAGAATACGAAATGCTCTCAACATCATAGCATAAGCATAATATACTTATTTTTCACATAAATTTTCATAATAAATACGTTCCTATTGCGTTAAATTTCATTGGATTTCCAATAAGACATAGTGCCGATTAAAATCACGTGACCACGTGCTTTTTTGTAGAGCGCTCGTATTCTGGTGTATTGTGTATCTGCAGTCGGTGCTCGCGGGAATGTTATGGAAACGGCTCTTGACATAACCTCTAGAATCGTGTGATTCCGCCATTTTTTCCGCGTGAGACGTGAGGAACAATTGCGCGATTTTAACTATTTTAACGTTTCTCGTCAGAGAGCGACTACTTCTACACCTGCGGCTTTATTTTTGATTATATAGTAATAGACATGGCATCCGCTTTGGAATCCATGGTGGTCGATGAAAAACAACTTCCCGAGAAGCCGGTGGATAGAGAAAAGGTAAACACAGCGTGACAGCAGAAATGTTTTTCAAAAAATATTTATCATATGTTTCACAGATTTAGTGTACTCCAGAAATGTCGATTGTTATTTCATGGATTTAAGTATATTTTGTATTTCAGACATGTCCACTTTTATTGCGAGTATTCTGCAATACTGGACGTCATCATAATATAATGGAATATAGTAGAGGGAATGTTCCTTCGAACGAGTTGCAGATATATACATGGTAAATTGAACATAAAGAAATCACTTAATCTTGTTAATGTCATAGTGATATGATATCAATTCTTATTATTTGTCTCTTATTTCTAAAGTGAATTAATTATTTCTATGTACAAAGGATGGATGCAACCTTGCGAGAAATTACAGGCTTAGTTAAGGAAGTGAATCCAGATGCTCGTAGCAAGGGAACGTACTTTGATTTTTCATTGGTGACTCCTGAATTACGTAATTCTGGTTATCGCATGCGTGAGATTGGTGTTACGTGTTCTGGACAGAAGGGTGCAGATGATAACAAAACACTTGCACAAGCAAGGTAAGTCATAAATTTTAAGTAATAGGAAAAAAAAATTTCTTTAAAAATATGTATGTATAATTACCCCCTTTATGTTTTATACAATTATAGATTCACTATAGGGGATTATCTGGATATATCAATAACACCGCCAAATAGAATGATGCAACCAACAGTTAGACGTGGTGGTTTACGTCAGTATTAATGTAAGAACCAATATTTAAGTTAACTATAAGAATATATTATAAGTAATAAATAAATGTGTATAACATTATTGAATGCATGAAAGACTTCCCAAACTTCTGTATCCATAAATGATTGAAATAAATATCACGTTTTCTTTATGTAAATTTACACAAATTTTGTATTAAATAATATTTGTTAACAGTTTTTAATTTAATTATTATTCTAGCCAAAAACATTTTTAAAGTTATGAAGATATTCAAAAAATATCTTGTGAAAAAGTTAGATATTAATTTTTAGATATTTTAAAAGATTATTGCACTAATATTATTTCATTTATTTTTAATGAAACATTGTAAAATTTAGATGTTAAATATCTTGTCAATGCTTTAATTTATTGTCAGTAATACAATAATCTTCTATTGATATTAATTCAAGTTTATTGGGAAAAATTTATCTCTATTACAAAATATTTTGACATGCGCACGCATAATATAATTTATTAATTACAAATCTTCTTACATTCCGAGATGTTCACTGGAAATAATTGTCTAGAAAGCTGGCATATCGAGAAATACAAATCCTACTTGCTTGAGTTGTATCAATATTATAACATCTGAAGTTAATATATTCCTAAGAATTCATTACTTATTATAACTCATTATCTATAAATTAAAATTGAATGTAGTATTCTTGAATTTGCTAATAGTTTCTCACAAATGATATTTTATATAAATATAAATTTTATCGTATTCTGAAACATCCATTACGAATGATCAAATCTTGTAATAAGTCATATAGAAGATTTTTAATTATGTGTTGTAGTTGTTATATTATAAAAATTATATTATAAAAATAATCCATTAGAAAGTTATTTTTTATATCTCTGTATCCATAGTTGCTATTTTTACGATGTCTTTTGACTTATACGGTAGTTGGTAAACCGGATATCTATGATACGATTAAATAGAACAGAATTTCCTGTTGCCATCAGTAAATAATAAAAAAACTGCAAATTAATTGTAGGTAATTATAATTGTAGGTAATACAAATTTTAATATATATTTTTTGAAGATATAAGCTCAATAACAAGATGTTGAAATAAAATTGACAAATTAAATTTATATAGAACATACACACAAACAAGGATTGACTGCACACAACAATGGAATGTCTTCGATAAATTATAATTTATATTTTTAATATTAATTTTTAATATTAATAAAAGTTATTTTATCTCTAGGAATAAAAAATGTAAAGCCAACGTGATATCGTTAGATATCTATTTTGTATTCGTATAATACATAATATAAAATATATAATAATTTTGTTTTATTTTATAATGCAATTTTTTCGAGTAGTTATCTGTGTATTTAATTTAAGAATATTTCAATTATTATATTGTATCACTATATTTTCAGTTATTATAATGTATTATATATTGTCATATTATATTGTGCTTATAAAGCGAAATAAAGTTCATGAGTTAAATATCACCGAATGATTTTTATTGTGTGATATGAATTTAATTTCACATACATATGTAATATATATTATATAAAACACAAAACACATTTCTCTTCTCATTCTGTCTTCCTGTCTCTCTCTCTCTCTCTCGCTAAAAATTTCTTTATTTCGCTGAAATTAATTAAATCTGTTATTAAGAATGTCACGATATATATCATTGGTTTTTTGATATTGACTATTTTCACTGAACTTTCACGTATGTAAACGAGTGGATGAAAGGAACGAGTGGATGTAAAAACTGGCGACGGTGCGTTTAAATCTTGTTTGTAGGCGTTGCCTATCAACTGAAAATCAGAAAAAGCCGAGTATAGAGGTTGGTATATGTCAGATTAAGCATCTGTAGCTGACAAGCAACATACTCTCCGCTCAAGAGATTTCGTTTGCATATAATACTCTACGGCAATACGGTATATTGTACGGCCAGAAAATAAAATAGTTTCTAATTAAATAAAATATATGTTTAAATTGAAATTAAATTCATGGGTGAAATACAATTTTATTAATACGTTATTTTGTAAATTCTTGAACTACATTTTATTTGAAATTATTGTCTGATATAAATGAATGTCTATACAATACAAATTATCAGGATTATATTGTTTGCTGTGCTGTTGGTATATTTGTCGAATGCGAAATATTTTTTTCTTAACAAAACTCAAGTTTTTATTTTGCACACAAAAAAGTGTAAAAGTCATTATTTAATATTACAATAATTAATGCTCTGGAAAATCTGTTTTATAATACTTGATATAACGCTTTACTCTATATAAAGCTTAATTTAGTTATACTTTGTTAATAATTAAAAATATCCTGGTTTTTTTGAGTTTATCAAGTTGAGTTTATCGGGAATCTTCATTATGTTTTCGTAAAGGAAAGTTACGTACGTTTTGTATAGTACACTAGATAGTTTCTACATTGGCGCTTGTAAAATACGTAGGAGAAGCGCAAAACGACGGAAAGATTGTGGGGTGGCTTCTTACCGCAATCACCTGCGGCTATTTTAAAGACACTTCCACTTTAATTATACCAAACCGCTCTCGCGATATTACGATATTATGATATTACGAAGCATAAGCTGGGTCCCGGAGATTTAGGGTCGCGGAAAGTTTAAACTGTGCACACCCCAAAAACCCATCCCAGCTCTCCCGTTACGATTTCTCCTCGACCGTTATCTAACTTCGGCGATAGCGTTACTGCCGCTTTCGTTTTCCAGTATTGCCTGGAAAATATCTACCTACCTATCCTGAGTAAATATATAAGGCAACGTAAGACGTTACTGCCGAGGCGATAACACGGAATATCTAACGTAACTTGTATAACTCTTCTATAACGATATTATAGCCCTGCCACGATATGGGAGATATAAAAAAAAATTTCATTCTCTAATTATTAAAACTTATTAAAATTACGTCACGCAGTCATCCCATTTTATTTGGAATGAAAAATGTTTTATCAGATTTGGTATCAACTTAATACTTGCGAAGAGAATGTTTTACAATTAAATATTATTATCTTATTGTTCAACATTCATCGTTAAGAGATGAATCTAATATTCGTAATCTGACATATTTGTGATATCTTTATATCACAATGCTCGTTGTTTTTTGACGAATGTACTAATATTCGTATATTATCACATCAAAGTTGGTACCGTAAAATACGCGTTATATCGAACAGAAAAATTTTAATGAGAAAGTAAAGTTTAAAGCACCGGGGAGGTTTGTAGAGACGGTAGAGTGGATTTGGCGTGCATTAAGGGCCGCGCCTTCTCTCGAAAATTCGCGGGTGTAATCAGTAATCAAATTTATTAGTTTCTATTGTCTTGGGGGGTGAAATTCTTTTCCGATTTTATGGCGTGGAAAGACGATATAATAAGGAGAGAGCCGCCTCGAGCGAAGCTGCGAGTAACGAGGGAATAAGAATGGCTAGGCAGTCGAGGGTGGCTTCGGGGGTGGCTCGGTTCCTCGGCAGGAGAAGGTGGGGGGGAGGGGGCAAGATTTACTGGACTCGCTAGTGGCCGCCAACTTCGTAAGGGACGCCTTCTCGAAAATATTAAAGCAATATAATGCTGGTACGCGAGAACTTAAATGGACGCTTTGGAGAATAATATAAAATTGCTTATCGAATACAGAAAGTTTTTTTAGAATCAATTTTTTAGTTCTTTTGAATTCTACTATTTATTTTCGATCATTTTAAACAAATTACTTGCCATTTTATATAAATTTATAGCTATCTGAAAATTTTTATTTAGATTTGCAGATATCAATATCTAAAATAGAAAAAAATAATAAAAAGTTTATTTATATGTTTTTATACTTTTGTAGGCTAAGTTTGTTCGTTAATATCTTTTTTAACAAAAAATGCGCTTTTCGTTTTAATTATTTCTTTAATTATTTTTTATATCTATAATTATGTATATATATATATATATATATATATATATTATTACAATTACATAGTGCTTACAAATATTTGGTCAAACCTAAAGTGCACAAATTTTTAATATTAGACGGAGAATGGAATGCATCTTTGTAAAATTACTGAATATTGAATTCACTTTACTCATAAAATTTGCAAGAGTACATATTTCACGTACGGAAGTCGCGGGATCACGGAAGAAAGGAAATAGCTCAAATTTTCCAGATTTATTAATTTCCGGAAGTGTCGGAGCCGCGAACGCGTCAGGATCGATTCGCACCGGTGACAAGAAATCTGTTGACTCAGGAGCGCGGGAGGTGGTCGTAATAAAAATAAATATTCCCGACGTATGCGAACCGAGTGGAACGAGTAGGGGACGGTAAAGTACGGGGGTTGCGAGGGAAGAAAAGGTGGTGGAGGGCACGACGTCGTTTCCCGCTTGTATGCTCCATAACGATATATAAAGTCGACATATTTCCGAATAAATCGTTTTTTTCAAATCTCTTGCATAGAACGACCGATAAACTCGACATGGATAGCTCGTGGCAAAGGAGGGCGTATCGATACTCTCTCCGAAACCGATGCCGTTTTCTGCTGTGCTGTTGTACGGATTTTTATTCGGCCACCGGTATATTTATGGACGATCGTGTGCGTACGGCGTCGCGCAGATTCGCGAAATGATTTACGCCCGTTTTTCGATTACGCCACCTCTCCGCGAATCCATAATCGGAGATAAATGTAATCCGCATTTGTCTACAACGGAATTTCATTATTTATGGACAATGAAATATCAATGTTGTCATCCTTGATATTTTCAAGATTAAATCTACACCTTTTGAAAAACCCAATAAGAAACAATTTTTTAAAAATAATTATGTTGTGTCATTTATTCTGTATATATACAAAAAAATTGAAACTTGACTTTTATTGTAAAGATGTGCAGAGAAATTTTTCAATCTTTTTTTTTAATTAATAATACAAGTTCTAGCAATTTAAGAAAAAAATTATTAATTTGTAATACTGTCAATTGTAAATATTATGTATAATAAACACAGAAGTTAGAATTTAATTTATTAATTTAATCTTTAGAGAATTATAATTTTATATGCAACACAGAGTTGGAGTGTGGGGTGTGATATAAAAGCAGAAACACAAATCTCAGTCTGTTTCGGGCGGTTGCTTTCCAAGATCTCGGTAATGGACCCCGGATATACTCTTGGAG